GAAAAAAATACGAGAAAAATAGCTGAGAAAGATAATAAAGAAAAATGCAAGGACATTATATACTGAACATATTAATATATATATATATATATATATATATATATATATATATATATATATATATATATATATATATATATATATATATATATGTTGACGAAAGCAACTTCAGTCTCTTTTCTATAATAAAGCAAAAATAAAGCGCATGGCGAGTAAGGTTTGTATGGAATATTACTCTTAGACAACTGGCTTGGTGCGTGCCTGACCGCTGGTCTCCACCTTTAATTGCTCACAATAATAACGAACTTCAGAGGTAATTATACCTTTATTATAATTATCAAAACCCTTTGTTTCACAATTGCTCACAGCGCGTTCGGGCGGCTGGCTGATATTCAGTGGCGAGGTCTTCGGACTAGAGCAGCTGCCAGCCTATGTAGCCCATCCACTTTGACGTTTGTTTAAGTTTATTTTCTACCACAGATGGAGCCATACATTAACAATGGTCTGTTATATACTCTTATATATAAGTTATATACTCTTACTCTTGTTATATACATAAGTATATGTTATATACTCAGCAGCATATATACATGTTCTTGTGTCCACCACAGGCAGGGTTAGAGATCTGTTAGATATTATTAAGTGTAGTGAGTTAATGAGCACTTAGCCTCAGAAGGTGATTGTAGTACTTTAACAGTGTTAAGTAGCTGGTCGGTACGATGACGGCCTTGGCTCTTGCAGGGTCTGCGTTCGATCCTTGATGGTCCAAGTGATTGGGCACCGTTCCTTCACTCCGTCGTCCTGTTCCATCTCATATCCTGCCCCCATACCCCTGCCATGTGCTATATAGGCATATTGGCTTATATAGCGAGTTCTCCTCATAATTACTTCATCTTTTGTACTATGCATTTCATGGGTTTCATTTTAATAAGCCTACGTTATTGCATGTAAATTGATACACAGGAGTGAAATGATGGACTATGTAGCTATGTAGATGGGCTATTAATACACATGGGAGACACTCACACACACATTCTTCACTGATGGAATGAGGAGAACTGTGTGTGTGTGTTTGTGTGTGTGTGTGTGTGTGTGTGTGTGTGTGTGTGTGTGTGTGTGTGTGTGTGTGTGTGTGTGTGTGTGTGTGTGTGTGTGTGTGTGTGTGTGTGTGTGTGTGTGTGTACTCACCTAGTTGTGCTTGCGGGGGTTGAGCTCTGACTCTTTGGTCCCGCCTCTCAACCGTCAATCAACTGATGTACAGATTCCTGAGCCTACTGGGCTCTATCATAACTACATTTGAAAATGTTTGAAACATTTTAAACAGCCATAGACTATAATATAAATGTGAGTGAGGATCAAAGCATATATCACACCACTATCCAACAAGCAGTGTATACATATCAATGATGAGCAGCAGCAGCAGCAGCAGCAGGAGCAACAGCAGCAGCAGCAGCAGCAGGAGCAGCAGCAGCAGGAGCAGCAGCAGCAGGAGCAACAGCAGCAGCAGCAGCAGGAGCAGCAGCTGCAGGAGCAGCAGCAGCAGGAGCAGCAGCAGCAGGAGCAGCAGCAGCAGCAGCAGCAGCAGGAGCAGCAGCAGGAGCAGCAGCAGCAGGAGCAGCAGCAGCAGCAGCAGCAGCAGCAGGAGCAGCGGCAGCAGCAGCAGCAGCAGCAGCAGCAGCAGCAGGAGCAGCAGCAGCAGCAGCAGGAGCAGCAGCAGCAGCAGCAGCAGCAGCAGCAGCAGCAGCAGCAGCAGCAGCAGCAGCAGCAGCAGCAGCAGCAGCAGCAGCAGCAGCAGCAGCAGCAGCAGCAGCAGCAGCAGCAGCAGCAGCAGCAGCAGCAGCAGCAGCAGCAGCAGCAGCAGCAGCAGCAGCAGCAGCAGCAGCAGCAGGAGCAGCAGCAGCAGCAGCAGCAGCAGCAGCAGCAGCAGCAGCAGCAGGAGCAGCAGCAGCAGCAGGAGCAGCAGCAGGAGCAGCAGCAGCAGCAGCAGCAGCAGCAGCAGCAGCAGCAGCAGCAGCAGCAGGAGCAGCAGCAGCAGGAGCAGCAGCAGCAGCAGCAGCAGCAGCAGCAGCAGCAGCAGCAGGAGCAGCAGCAGCAGCAGCAGCAGCAGCAGCAGCAGCAGCAGGAGCAGCAGCAGCAGGAGCAGCAGCAGGAGCAGCAGCAGCAGGAGCAGCAGCAGCAGCAGCAGCAGCAGCAGCAGCAGCAGCAGCAGGAGCAGCAGCAGCAGCAGCAGCAGCAGCAGCAGCAGCAGCAGCAGCAGCAGCAGCAGCAGGAGCAGCAGCAGCAGCAGCAGCAGCAGCAGCAGCAGCAGCAGCAGCAGCAGCAGCAGCAGCAGCAGCAGCAGCAGCAGCAGCAGCAGCAGCAGCAGCAGCAGCAGCAGCAGCAGGAGCAGCAGCAGCAGCAGCAGCAGGAGCAGCAGCAGCAGCAGCAGCAGCAGCAGCAGCAGCAGCAGGAGCAGCAGCAGCAGGAGCAGCAGCAGCAGCAGCAGCAGCTGCTGTGTTAGCCTTGCGGTTACCGGGAAATAACGCACGAGTTCAGAAGGCTAAACAAGACGGGTGATGACATCATAATCAAAGTAGTTCCTCGAGCGCAGGTGGACCAAATGACTTGTAAAAGGACATTTGTACCGACATAAATTTCGAAGTTTTCTCAAGGCACACACTAACGTCAGCGGTGGAGGTATGGCGCTTAGAAACTCTCTCTCCTTACTTGGGATAAGTGAATGGTCGTGTTCCACAATACGACTTGTGTCTGCCCCCGGCTGACCCCTCTGGTATACCACCTCAGCCTCCAGAGGAGGGTATACCCCTGGGCGATGCTCGGGTATGCCACTATGTTTAACCCCGCCTCTATAATCCCTGCCTATCTAGACACAACAAAAGCTGTATACTTTATTATACTCGGAGCCAAGATCAATATGATTCAGTATGATTTATGTCGTGATTAAGTAAAATCATAAAAATCCAATAAGAGCCTAATAAGAAAAGCAAATAATTTCAGGTAAACATCCCAGTGCGTTTATCTTAAGATACTGATCGTTCCCACGTCTTGCCTGCGTAAGACTCCTGAGCGTATTCCTATCAGACGCCATAGTCTCTCCCCAAGGAGGCGATAGCACATGAAACTCACGCGAAGAACTCTGAAAATTCAATCTGCCACTTTTGTGTGTTTTATATGATATATATTTTCAGGCTCTGTTGACTTTGTAAACTATTTGCCCGGAGAATTTATGTATGGCTGAAGCCTGTGTCATGCCCAGGGTAATTAGTCCCAGGGTCACCAGGCAGCCTCGTCATCAGTGTTCTCTTAATTGCCCTTTTCTGCCTTGTGATGGACATGCTACCAAATGCCTCGGCTGTGATGGAAGTGGATTAAGGCGCACATGCGTAGTATATATTCTGGGGTGTGATAGTATATATATATATATATATATATATATATATATATATATATATATATATATATATATATATATATATATATACCATACGCACGCACGCACACAAGACATACACATGAGGTTCACATATGAATAAACACACATGTCTACTAGATCAGATATGGCACTCCTGCCTCACTACACACACTCCAGCGTGACACGTGTGTCACAGGCCCCAGTGTGACACATGTGTCACAAGCCCCAGTGTGACACATGTGTCACAAGTCCCAGTGTGACACATGTGTCACAAGCCCCAGTGTGACACATGTGTCACAAGCCCCAGTGTGACACAATTTGTGCCAGGTGGACCTTAATGACAGCCTCGCAAGCCGCGTGCTGTTGCCTCAAGACAAGTCTGACATTGAAGAACCTCAAATAGTGTGATTTACAGAACTATTATCGTCGTGGAGAACACACACCGAGTCGGGGTGTAGATATATTCTCTATACCTGTAAAAGTTGGAGGCCAGACGCTTGGGGCTAGCTCGTCTAAATTTGTAGGGGGGAATGGTCTCGGGTTAAGGATAGACCTAGGCTAATCCGGGAAGCCCTGAATTTTTTTTTTTTCAAAAAAAGCCGCATTTATAAACGCCCTTTGGCCATTTCGTAGTCTTTCATAGTCATGTGTAAAATGTGGCGTGTGATTAACTTGGAAATTAAATATTGTCAGTCATATCTCACACACACGTGACTCCCCAACACTATATCACTGAATACCCAGTTATTAGACCGTTCAGAGCCCCGGCATGAGGTACCTGGAGCTTTGCAGTTCCTTATTAACTATCGTGTTCTTGAGGATATCCTCATAATGCACCCAGAGTTTGTCAGTGCACACTACTGATCATATGACCCTGTATGACTAACCATCCTGTGTGATGGGCACATTTAGCATCACGCAGTTAGTTCTTGACACACTCTGTACTCCCCTTCATATAGTCTAGGGTAGCTAGTTCTTGACACACACTGTACTCCCCTTCATATAGTCTAGGGTAGCTAGTTCTTGACACACACTGTACTCCCTTTCATATAGTCTAGGGTAGCTAGTTCTTGACACACTCTGTACTCCCCTTCATATAGTCTAGGGTAGCTAGTTCTTGACACACACTGTACTCCCCTTCATATAGTCTAGGGTAGCTATTTCTTGACACACTCTGTACTCCCCTTCATATAGTCTAGGGCAGCTGCACAAATGTTGAGGTACCAGATTGACTGATGAAGATTAAGCCACCACAAGAGGTGGCACGGGCAGGAGTAGTCCGTAACTGAGGTAACTAAATATGTTAATAAACAAAATTATCCTCGTATTCTGTGAGAAGGAAAAGGAGAACAGCAATCTGAGAGACACATACAGTTATTTCATGCTAAGGGATTTGGAGAGCGACGGTCTCCCTTCATGCAGGTCGGCGTTCAATCCCCGACCGTCCAAGTGGTTAGGCACCATTACTTTCCCCCGTCCCATCCCAAATCCTTATTCTGACCCCTTCCAAGGGCTATATATAGTCGTAATGGCTTGGCGCTTTCTCCTGATGCAACACACCCACGCACACACCCACGTACACACTCATGTACACACTCACGTACACACATTACACAATCGTGTACACACTCATGTACACACTCACGTACACACTCATGTACACACTCATGTACACACTCATGTACACACCCACGTACACACTCATGTACACACCCACGTACACACTCATGTACACACCCACGTACACACTCATGTACACACCCACGTACACACTCATGTACACACCCACGTACACACTCATGTACACACCCACGTACACACTCATGTACACACCCACGTACACACTTATGTACACACCCACGTACACACTCATGTACACAACCACGTACACACTCATGTACACACCCATGTACACACTCATGTACACACCCACGTACACACTCATGTACACACTCATGTACACACTCATGTACACACTCATGAACACACTCATGTACACGGTTCACTTCACAGACGAGATTTTAAACGCTGCCTCATGTGCTGGAAATTATCTGCTTGTCGATTGTATCAGCCAAGTGCCCCGTGATGGTGTGAAGCCAAGCAGAGAGACAGCTTGTAGGGCGGCCAGTCACTGGCAGGGAGAACACGAGGCCAGTGGGCGGGCGGGCGTGCAGTAGGGTGTGTGGGCGTGCTGTAGGGTGGGCGGGCGTGCCGTAGTGTGGGCGGGCGTGCTGTAGGGTGGGCGGTGCGTAGTGTGGGCCGTGCTGTAGGGTGGGCGGGCGTGCCGTAGTGTGGGCGGGCGTGCTGTAGGGTGGGCGGGCGTGCCGTAGGGTGGGCGGGCGTGCAGTAGGGTGGGCGGGCGTGCAGTAGGGTGGGCGGGCGTGCAGTAGGGTGGGCGGGCGTGCAGTAGGGTGGGCAGGCGTGCAGTAGGGTGGGCAGGAGTGCTGTAGGGTGGGCGGGCGTGCTGTAAGGTGGGCGGGCGTGCTGTAGGGTGGGCGAGCGAATGTTTAGTATTCTCAGAGTGCAAAAACAAACGTTACCAGGTCGGGGAGGAACCCTGGAGGCAGGGAGCCATGCAGTGTTACCAACACCTCATCTGCCTATACATTCTTATTCCCGCCACAACCCGTCCATAAAGCAAGTCTATCGTGCTTAATTATACTTCGATGCCATTATAAAACACCAGGCAATATACGAGTGTATAATCTGGAAAATGAGGGTGGAGGCGGCAATAACCAATGGTTTATTGGTATAAGTTATGCATAGGTGAAAATACTGCGAGAGGTTTATCCTTGGGTGTTAGTTCACAGGTCCTCAGGGGCCTACTTCAACCTCCTGTTGTGGCAACCGTGGCTGACAAATGATATGATTACATATACACACACATCGCGTGCACCCTCGCTTACACACACACACACACACATGGGGTTAGAAGTCTAGCTCGACGCTGCAAGCACATCTAGGTAGGTAAGTACACACACACACACACACACACACACACACACACACACACACACACACACACACACACACACACACACACACACACACACACACACACACACACACACACACACACACACACACACACACACACACACACACACACACACACACACACACACACACACACACACACACACACACACAGGTCCTCGCAGTCGAGTGAACCGCGCTCTGGGGTCGTAGTCTGGGTTCGTTTCCCGGTCTAAGCAGAAATAGGGCACAGTTTCTTTCACCGGATGCCTCTGTTCACCTAGCAGGGAGAGCCAGACTGCAAAGTCTCCCAAGTGACGTAGCCATGGGAATCGTCTTCCGGGGCTGGTATGACTGTACTCACTCTCATCCAAAACTGGTAGCATCTCTCATCATGCATTAATCAACGACGTCATGTGTCCCGCGAGTCATTAATCATCCAGAAACTACGTATGATCGCCATCATATGACGAAGGGTATTATCAACGCAAATATTGTGAGTCAGGTGTTGACTGTGGGCCAGGTACCATCTCTGGTGTTGGGGCGAGTGGGTACCAACACGAGGTACCGCGTACATATCATTCCCACACTCATGGTATCACGTCCGTGTCACCTGTACACAGTGCCCTCTAGTAAATAAAAGCAGGTGTGTGATCTTTTAAGTACCTTCGAGCAGACATGTACAGGCTGTAATCATCGGCAGTACCTCTCATTATCAGAGGCAATATTCATCATTCAGATATTTGCCAAGGAGATGGTGACGAGCAGCTTCATCATGTTTGTTATGATCATCGTAGGCACGGATCATTCTGGAGCGCTTGTGTCATCATGCGGCTATAACTCCCGTGTGTTTTGGAATGTTTACACTGCATGGGTGGGTTCCCACTCCCTGCGTCACTGTGGACAAAATGGTTCTGGTCAACCATTCGTCCTCTTCCTCCTCCTCTGTCCCCTTCCCTTCCCCTGCCCTCCCCTCTGATCCTACTCCCTCTCCAACTTCACTTCCCCCAATTAACACTAAGGCGAAGATCAGCTGGAGTCCATGACAACGACTAGATGTCGTTCTTGGCGATTGGCAAGATTTACGAACACTAACTGAGCAAAGCATCCGC